AAGTGGATATTGCTTATTAATCGTCTCCCGCCATCAAATTGTACTCGGCATAAAATTGAGCGATTGTGAATCTTGGCGGCAAATAATTATTTTGTTGTTACATAATATATTGAAGATTGTTTCTTTCGTAAAAATCGTGGGACTAATCAGATGTTATATCAAACATTTCATTAAGGTAAACTTGGGTAAGATGGCCATATCATTAAAATGTACAAAACATATTTTAATTTTTATTATTTTTAATAATGTTATGTTGATATATCTTTTCTGTGTATAGTAAAAAAATATAGATACTAATATAACACTATCAAAAATAACAAAAATTAACATACGTTTTTCATTAAAAGATGGCCATTTTACTCAAGTTTCTCAAGATTTACTCAAATTTACTCAAGATCTTAATGCTTGAAGTGTTGTATTCATGTGGAAATTTATAGATACATTTTGCCAGTTCATAAACTGCGCGCCGATTCGGTTTGCCGGATTTAAAACGCAATTATAAAATAAAGCTGGAAATAACAACACAAATTACATTGATTGTTAATTTAATAATTTGCTGCAAATTAAAGCCCTAGACACAATACGAAGCAACAGCGACAAGAACAGCCATTGGAATAATATACCGTAGAAATACACGATATATAACTGTCGTTTCCCGTTGCACAATGTCGTGAAAGAAATAAAAAGGCCAACCAATCTGATTACGTAGAGACTGTAGTATACTCTTCCGTCTACTTCAAGGTTATAGTGTATGTAAAAAAAATGAAAAATTGGTAGATCATATTTGTCGACTATAAGGATTGGTAGGCAATAAGGCGATAGATACAGAATTCTAACTCATCGGAAATTTATCACTATTGCTTTATTCTTATATAACATATGCATTGATATATGTATTCCCAAATGTTATATTCTCCTATTTTTATCGTTGTAACGATTTCAGGATATATCGCAAAACACTACGTAAATCGCAGTGCGATTTTAGCTTTTTAATCGCAAAATCATATACGTTTTAAAGTCGCGTCTTCTGTATACTTGTTTTCAATTCTTTTAAGTCATGCAAACGATTCATCGATGAAAAATATTTTCAATTTTCAGAATGTTATTTGGTGCACTAAAAATTTAATCCTTATCAGAACATCTCGCTACGGAAATAGTAACATACTAATCCAATTCTCGATTGCTGATAACTTTTACAAAAATAAACATATTATAAAAAGAGTTTATTTTATTAAAATGTCAGATACTAAGGAACATAACGGTGCCAAGTTATACACACACAAAAAAGTTATAAGCAATAGAAAAGCAAAAGAAAAAAAATCTTGGAAAAGAGTGGGATATATCGTACTAAAACGGTGTTTAAAGGTTAACTATCCACGTAATTATCTACAATCAGCAAATAGGCCATATTGAATACAGTCATCTTACTTCACATCTTTTTGTTATTTTGATTCATTCGATTTTAATTGAGCGTTTCATATTTCTGGATAAAAAGACGACAATTCACAGCGTTGCCCGCAAAAACGTCATCCGTAAAAATAATCGAAATTAAAGATACGAGTGTGCGGGCGCGAGAAGCAGGACGTATGCTTATTGAGCGCGGCGAACGCGGATTTGCGCGGCGCGCAACGATTCTTCCTTTCTCCAGACAGCTTCGCGCGCGCGGGGGCTCACTTATAGCCGAGGCGTGGTGGTCGATTGCGCCCAACTGGATCGGGCCACGGGACCGAATGTGTCCGTGCCTCTCACTGTATGTGACTGGCATGCCACAACGTTGATTACAGAGCCCTACCTCGGCGTCACGATTTTCCACTAACCCGAACCAGATGGAGGAGTCATTAGCCTGTACACGCTTTCAATGGTCCGGACAGTTGCGAGCGCGTATACCGTGGCCGACGATAATGACGACGTTGCAAGTCTTCTCGTCGATTTCGTCGAGACTCTGCCGCGCGCGCACCGCACGGGTCCGATAATCGCGAATCGGTTTTGTTTACCGAAGACCTTTCCTATTTTCAGGGAGCGAGCGCTTAGAAGCGGGTACGCAACCAATTTCGTTTCCCTCCGATCGTCGGTTAGATAATCGAACAGTTTATCTCGATTCTAATGATCGGACGAGCGTCTAAAAATCTAGAACCCGGAAGAATCGGAAAGCTTCGGAGAACGCGACAGCGTCTCTGGCTTTATGTCAATGATGGATCAGCGACGGAAAGTCACGGATTTCGCGCTGCTCGTGGAAATTCTGCGTACCGATTATACGTCTTTCTTCTCTCCTCGCTCCATCGATTTAAACAATTGGTTCGTAGAAGTTGATCAAGAAAACACCAGGTGTGGGATATAGAACTGTACCTCTGAATAGCTAATCGTCTCATTACAGTTCCCGCGAACCTTACGTTTGCAATTGAATTTCGCGACTACGAGCTCCGGCTGAGCAATCGCTTATGGGAGACAACTTTCGCATACTTCTCGACCACGCTTGCGACACCGTCCCATTTGTCATGTGTGCGCCGAATTGAGTCCGGCGGCTGTTTCGTCAGCACGCAATACGCTACGTCGTCGTCGTCGTCGTCGTCGACGTCGGCACTGAAGAAAGGTGCCAACATTTTATCACGGGGTCGACTTAAAAATTAATCGGCGCACGCCCAAGAGAGCACGCTGCAGCCATACCGTATCGCGGCTCGAAAGTCCCAGGACGTGCCTTCCCGTTCCAAGGACGGATCGTGTGCCAATCGTCGAATATTCCCGATCAGGTCATCGCGAAGTCGAGTGAATCGATCTTATCGGCGCACGGCTGGCGCGGAGCCATTTCAAGGAGCGAACATTATCTATGCGGAATCTAACGACTACTTTTCTTATATCCGCGTCCGGACATGTATTCTCATCGTTATTCTCTATAAATGGCGCTGACAGTAAAAACAAAGATCGTTTTACGGCGACGATAAAAATTAAAAGGCAAGATACTGATTATGTACGCATTATTAACAGCATTAATTGAAGCGATTGAAGATACGAATCTGGGGAATGCCTGAGAAAGTAAAAGGCTCATTAATTCTCCACGCATCATTATATAAAAACAACTTGCGTTCCTCGCACTTTCGATTGACTCAACGTCCACGGGGCAATCGAAGAATAATAGACTTTTTTTTTCTTCTACGCGTGTCTATCTTTTATATTATTGTAGTCGGCAAGAGGTACACGGCGTTTCCTGTGGGTCGTCACTAGGTGTGGTTACCGCCGCCTGTCTTTTGTGCGCGCGCGCGCGCGTTTTGCTCTCGACTTGGTTCAAGGAGATCCAGAAGCGGCTGGCGGCGCGGCCGACAACGACGGCGAAACATGCGCGCCGAGTTACGTTACGACGCTCTGAATCTGAATCTCTTTCTCTCTCACGGTAGGCACGCCGACCGCGCTCCTGCCTCGCCCCGTATTCGGGTCAGCCGAGTAGTAGAAATTACGTAATACGTGTGCGCCGGGGCGGTTCCCACCGAGAGCCGCCTTACCGGAAGTCGAGACCACGTTTTGTCACAGAGAGGACGCACGGTCAGTTTCGCGAGAAAAACGCGTGAGCGTTTCGTATCCTGTAAGCAGAGCACGGTGAAGTGATGAATTCCGAACTGGGGAATATTGAAAGGCTGTTTAAATAGTGACTCATAACCCAGATAGCAAGCTAATGGCATTTGTCATTTTTCTAATATTGTTAAAATGACGACCTAATAACGTCAACTTACTATCTACTTGGAATTGAAGCGATAGGAAAAAAATCCTTCGTTACAAAAATCTCGTATATAGCGTATCACTCTTTTAATCAATTTACTAAGTATTACGTCTTTCTCTTTTCGTCAGCTCGCAACTTCATTAAGTGCATATATCTCTGTAATCTTTGCTCGTACAGCATTGAATATTAATACAATAGCAATCGAGTATATTATAAAATATCTAGATAACACGATCAGATTCGATTCATAAGATCTGATAACCGACTAGTAATTCATAAAGGAATTTGAAGCATTCGCGATAACAAAATTCACGTTATAAATGTGGAATTTACCGCAACAGACACAGTCATGGAATCAGGACAAATCTAGATGTAATCTAGCAAGCTTTAACCTTTTACGACGACGACCGCGGCCGTATACTACTCGTGCTCTCGTTTAACAAGCAAAACCGAGCATTCGGTCGCGTTCGAGCGAGCGATAAGGAATTTTGCGCGCATACCGCTCGCGCACACACGAGCTCACTGATCCGCGAAACTCGCTCTCTCCTCGCTCCATCTTCTGCTTCCTATTAACTATAAGCGTACCTCCGTAACGCGGATCCGGCTTCGTACATGGAAACTAGACTAGCCGGCTAAGACTCGTATCTATTCCGTCTCAAGTGGCCCCAACAATTTCGATTACGCTTCTCACGTAACACGATAAAACCACATATCTCCCTATTCGCCGCGAATAAAAAATCGCCAGCGTCTGACATGTATCGTATATTTCTACTTAACGCCGCTGATACTAGTGTTATTAAGTTTCAGTCGAGGTTTCTGTTGTTTCTCGACACACATAAATGTCGAGGTTAAGTATCAGAATTCTCGAATTTGTCCCCATTACTTTGTAAAATTATTTCTCTGTAAAAAGTTACATTAAATGTACAGAGAGAGAGAAACATTGATGCATATACAAATATTGCTTTCTTGAAGAATTTTAGAGAACAAATATACTTATACCTAATTTATTCAGATTTTAATAGAATTAAAAAATTTATGGATCGCGATTTCCGCTGAAAACGACTATCTCACTTCCCGTTTTCACTTTACAAAACTTTTCTAAAAATTTCGATCCGACAAGAGCACCGGCCACTTTCTTTCGTGCGCAACATGCGTAACGTCGTATCAACATATTAATGATCATATCCCCGAGCATGAATCGTAATATAGTGTGCGTTGCCTACCATAGTAAATTATTTTTCGTTACCAGGTAATCTCGGCGTGTCTGCTCATCCTAACGGAGGCACGGCGAATGCAGATCCGGCCTCGCGTGACAGAGCCTCAAGTGTACTACGAGGAAGAGGACAATCAGGCTGCGGAGGACGAGTTCGACACTGTGGCGGTTTATCAGCCACGCACTCGCGCGCTTCCTTCGCCACGATCTAAAGATGCGTTGCACGGATCGAAGCCGCCACCAGTGCAAACAATCAGGAATTATAATAAAGTTAATGACGACGGATCCTTCACCTTCGGCTACGAGGCGGCCGATGGTTCCTTCAAGGAGGAGACTCGCGGTACTGACTGCGTCGTGCGTGGCAAATACGGCTACATTGATCCGGACGGCAATAAAAGAGAGTTCACTTATGTCTCGGGCAATCCCTGTGACCCGAACGCACCGAAGGATGAGGAAGAAGAGGAGCCCGAAAAGGAAGAGGAAGAGCTCTCTGGACCGGCGAATTATCCCGTTATCAGGCCTGTACCTCGACCTGTCTCAGTGAGACCCACGTATCAACCGACCACTACTCGTGCACCCACTACGATTTTCCAGACCGAGTACCAGCTTGACGACGATGCCAGTCAGGAACTGACCGAGGATGATCTGAAGCCGCAGCTACGACCATCAGCCTTTAGAAGACCTTCGACCTTGGTGCAAGTCACGCCCTCCACCTCCATTTACGAATCTTCGCCGTCCTCCAGTCCGTCTCTTTTTAGGCTAGCTTCCACCCCGGCCCAATATCAGACTACTGCGTCGCCTGTCATCCGTAGCCAGCCTACAGTCACTTCGAACGTTTATCAATCGCTCGACACCACCACTCGCCGGCCGGTGACCCGTCATCCCTCAGTCAGGGCTCAGTCGGTTGCGATAACCCCACGACCCCACGTCGCCCAAGTAGCCGCGCAATATGTCTCCCCTAGTAGCACGGAACGTCCCAACAGTCTGCTCTACGCCCAGTCCCACCCCACGGTATCACCATTGCGCACCACGACCGCCGCTAATGCGCCCCATCTCGACTTTGCCGCCGAACTCGAGCGTTACGTGAACACGGTCGGCTCACACGTTTCCGCAGCCCCTGTTGCGAGGCCCCAGACCGCCCAAGCATCGCCCCAAACCAGTTCGAGGGTTAAGTTGACCGGTCAGACATCGGTCACCGCCACCTCCTCAGCCTCTGAGCCCATCTACCAATCGGAGCTCGTGTATGATCCCGCGACCGGTCAGTACAATACCCAGCTTTATCAGACACTACCCCAAACCGTGGGTGACTTTAGCCTCAGTCACAAACTCCAACCATTCGTAGCCCAGCCCCAGTCCCTCCTCGGTCTGCAGCAGCTGCAGCCGTACCAGCAGGCCCAGCGTCCGGTCTACAAGCAGGCCCAATCGGCGCCCACTCCGACCATAGCCCAACCTCAGGAGGTGCTCTACAGGAAGCAGCAGAGCCAGCTATTGCAGCAATCCCAGCAACTCTATGCACAACAACAACGTCGTCAGCAGCAGCAGCAGCAACAGCAACAGCAACAACAACCTCACAGGCTCCAGCTGCTGGAGTCGCAGAGAGAACCTCAGGCGTTCTACTACGTCGCGCCCTTGAAGGCCTCCGCTGCCCCTTCGTCCCTTTCAGTAGGTCAGATCGATCAGTTTCTCCGAGGTAGCCGCGCTAATAATAACTACTGATGCAATCTGAGTCGCGAATCTTAAGAGATCTTCCTATAAGGATCCTCGAATCGTCCCTCGTCGATATTTATCATTTGGTATTGCCTCGAGCGTCTCTCGCGAGCTAAACTACCGAGAATTTCACGCCGGTTACATCATAACGTGTCGGCCCGTGCGTACACAGAGGGTATTACACTATAAGTACATGCATTATATATAAAGTATATATCTCATGTGGCGCCGAAGCTGGGATCAAATATATCGCCGAGTGAATGGCACACACGAGCGCTTCGATGCATGCGTTGCACGCGGGGGAATGCGTGCGCGGTATATATTTAAATATAATCAGCGCGACGCAAGAAAGGCGCGTGAACATGATTGCGATGAAAAGTATCGCGATAAAGGCCGTAGATTTTTATCGTAATCGCGTGTCGCAGGAAACGCGGACTTTCTGAGAAACATTCAAAGTTTATTATTACAAACGGATCTTGCGGTCTTCCTGTAATTCTCATTTTGCATAGTAACGTGGGATTTTCCGAATTACCTTGTTCTCGATAGCGCTTTCATGCTTTGATAGTTCTGTATTGTATATAGCGCTCGCTTTTTCGTCCAATGCGTGTCTCAAAGCGTTCTTGCGCTATCCGCTCGTCTCGGCTAACGCGCAAACAATAATATTATCCGTCGACGATGCAATCGGAGAACGAAGGTTAAAGAGATTAAAGTATGTGATAATGGATGGAGGAACCGCGCGCGTACGGTTACATGGATAGTGTAACTCGTAACAATAACCGGAGAGCCGGAGTGGCAAAAACGTGATACGTGATAAAATTTTAATTCTCTTTGTTTAATATTGTTTAAATCTAGCTAATCGTATCTTTTTACTTTTTTTTTTTTCCACGATTTCTCAGTTAAATAATCTCGTCGTAAATCTCGTTTCCTCCAAACGCACAACAAGAAAAGAATTATTCGAGCAAGCGTCATCGTTTCGGGAAGTGACAACTTGTTGAAACAATGCGTTCATTAAGAATAGTGAAATTTTATTTATTCGCGCGTCGAGTTGACACCGAACGTGGTTCCTTCCGTTTCTCAAGCCGATTCCGAGAACACCTCTCTTTTCACTCTAGTATCGTGCACGTTTATGAGGTATGTTAGAGAGTGAAAGCCAACGACCTGACGCAATACTCATGCACGCATATATACGATGTATTACCGTGGCAATTTCTCGCGCGGGTCCCTAACACCGTACTGTCGTAAAGGTATCCACAGAGGTTCCGCGATATAAACGAAACACTTCGTCGCGCGGCCGCGGACCTTTTATTCGCGACCCCGTAAGCCTGAGCCACGTAATAATGCTAGAGACTCGATTACAAAATGTCGATTCAGTGCAACAGCGAGTCGCATGAAAGGCGAGTGAAACACGATCAAACACAGAAGGGGATAATTAGTCGAATCAAATCCGTCGGTGTGTTTCGATATACTTTCGATTATATAGACATACAATGTTACACTTCCATACTATTGTGTCATATAATGCATAGAATGCATCGTGATATAGAAGTATGCAATTGATTTGTTGCTTCATTCTCGCCTATTCTAATCTTTTACTCAAACGTCTAATTACGCGCATAAAGTGTTATAAAAAATAAATTGTGTAGGTCAGTAAATTACTTACGTTCTTCAAATTAAAAATAAATTTAAACTCTATTTTTTAAATTTTCGCTCAATTTAATTTGAAATTATCATGTAAATATCTGTTTTTAAAAATGTACATTTTAATGTACGTTACTATATTTTACATTTTTTAAGTTAAAAAATAAATTCGAAACCCCTATATTTAAAATTTTTGTTTCTGCCCAATTTGAAATTATCACGTAAATTTTTTATTTTGAGAATAAATAACGTTACGCGTAAAATCCCATAACAATCGCGACAGAAAAGTTTCTCCGTCGATCATTTAATAATTTATAATGTTTCTAATAGGTACTTTCAAAATTGCTAGGCTTGTCTACTCCGTTACGTCTTTAAATTTTACGCGATACAAACGTATTGCTCGCGTTTTAACTGGATAGTTAATTTTGATACTCCACACGCGGACGTCGCATCGGTAGGAAGTTTGCTTGGCCTTTTGCAATGTGGAATTTTGCAAGCTTTGCCGCAAGTAGGGTTCACCCGAGTCGACCGTCGGGGAAACTGCAATACACTCTTATCGGCGTTGTCGGGTTTATAGGGACAACATTCTATTCGCGCCGTAAACGCCACGAACTTTCTATTTGCATTCTCTGTCACAAGTGTGAGAATCGATTCGAGTTTAATGCGTTCCGACTGTTCAACCCGCGGAAATATATGTATATCAAGTCCGGGAAGGAAACGGCGGTAGGTCGTGTATGTCGATGAAATCACGTTTACCACAGTCATTAAAGAAAACTATATAAGGTTTCTCGGACGTGTGTTATATCATTACGAATTTAATGAATCTATAATTAATTTACCTTCAACAAAATGTTAACGTTCTACAATTATTATTAAAAATCGGATATACTAGTAAGGCTCAGATAATGAAAATTCCAATGTCTCGAATACATTTAAATTTAATTCTCAAACAAGACACTTAAAGCAAAACTCATTTAAAATTAAATGATTTCAATGGTTATCAAGAGCGCTGTCAAGTATAATTGACAGCGTCGTTACAGTTGATATTCCCGTAAAACGCAATTTGATGCATATTTCTGAAGAGATTAATGTATCACCGTAAGAAGGTACGTCTTAATAAACGATTTCGTGGCTTAATCGCAATCACGTCGTTGCTATAACGGGCTCAGTGCGGCGGTTGTCTACTCATACTGTAAATAATACTCGTTAGCGTTAAAATGCATAGCGACTACTTAGCAATTCATACTTAACGATACATACGCATAATTAATAATACGACAATTGCGCATAAATCTTCGTGAAGAAGAGTCTTACGTTACAGTTGTTTTCTTTTTGTATTATATGTAAGCATAATCGAAAGAAAAATATCATTGCGAAAATGTGTTAAGTTGTCACTTTATTTTCCCAATCCCCGCAGTGTCATCCACTTTCGCTCGTTGAAATATGAATCGCAAAACGAAAATATCAACACGCACGAATGGAGATTGAAATAGGCGTGTCGAATATTTGTTTGTGATAAAATCGCAGCCGTGGCGAACATTTGTGAGTGTGTAACTTGCACGTAACTGTATAGACGCGCGCTTCACATCCGCGTTCCTCCATAAATCTACATTTATTGAAAGAAGAAAACACGCGACCGGAGTCTATAATGATCATTATATCGTACAGCATAACGGATTTGATTAGTTATAGACACCGGCGCGTGTTTTCTTTTTCGAATAAATAGATTTCACGTGTTTTCGATAATGAAGCAACTAGTTACACCACAAGTTTCATACGTTACGAACATTCGCCACGGCTTTGATCTTGCGACTCCGATACGTCGTATTACATGTGGTGTACTGATATAATTTGTATTTTATTATGAAAAAAATTGTATAGAGGTAATTATTCATTGTATCGCCATTAAAGCCACACTATTTTACTAAAATTATAGATTAAAGTTTGTTTATTAAGAAAGCGAGTGAGTGACTTTTATAGATAATAATTACATGAACTCTTTCTCTCTATCTCTCTCTCTTTCTCTAGTTTAATAGAAATCACGAATACCGCATTCCTGCATTTGCGCGGGTGAATATTATTTCGCACAACTTGACTGCCCAAGGTGTTGTTGGCTATGCGCGAACATATAATTTTTACGAGGTGAGACTAACAGAGCACCGCCGCGCCGCCCGGCGGCATGTCATTTTTCGTTTCGTGCCGCAGTTGAATCACGAATCAGTAGGCGCTTCCGCGAGAAGAAATTGGAAAAGTGGGAAAGGCGGCGGCGTCGTCGTGCACGATGTATATAAACGTTCGTTACATCACGAACGACGGCTACGTGTTATCCACCTGCGGCGTTTTCTCCGCTCCGATTATGAACCACGTGCCGCTGTGAAATCGCAATCGGTGTGTTCGCCCATAAAAACGAAGACAAGATTACTCTGCAGCGCGCAGTAACATCTCACGAGCGATCCTATCTAGAAAAGACGGCTTGCAAAAAAATAGCGATATTAATTGCAATTTTCCAAGTCATGCTTCGGGTACGCTTCTATTATCGCGTATCACGTTCTATCTAAGTTACCTTTTCTATTCGCAGCTCAAAAGAATTATTCCTGAAAAGGTTGAATAAATCTCATATGTATTGGGTTGCATTTCTTATTCTCGTCACCTCGCATATCTAATCACGTCTCGATGTGCATAATGACCATGTACGACGTTAGTTTCGCTTGAAAGGTAATCCTAATGAAATGTCAATTCCGACGAAACATTTCGTACGCAGGATCTGCACGCGCTGTCGTAATATTATTAATAGTAAATTTAAGATTTTTACGAACTCAAAATGTATAATAAACGTTTAAAACACGAAGTATATAATTTAATAAACAAGGGCATATATTATGCATCTCATATATTCGATTTTGTGGTAAAAGTAGATTGCGAGCGCCTGGGTGAAAGTCATCGAAAATGAAAGGGTCGAGTAAAGTGTTAAATCAAACCACGCCAGACAGCTTGTAAGCATGTTTATATGTACGTGTGAATGACCGTTGCTAAATATATTATCTAAGTTTGCGCGCGTGGATACAATCGCGAAAGTAAATTGGATCGATGATTTATTTTCAGCACTATATGTCGAGATGTATCATGTTCTATATTGACTATATAATACTATGAGACTAAACTTGCCGTTTTGAAACCTATAAAACAAAGTTTTGTTTGCTTTTATTAATACATTGATAAGCGATTAATTAAAAATAGATAATTTGTATTATATAATAGTGTTAGAGATAACTATGCTTATTTTTTTAATATTTTACGCTGAAACTTTTGGACTAACAAGATAATAACAAGATGTACAACCTTGAACTCAGTTTCAGTGGACCACGGTCAAA